AATAATTTTCTGATTACGTAAAAATGAAAATATAAAAGAAAAAGGCACGGGCATGTTATGAGATGTCACAAATGGAAAAAATCGCCATAGTTTTTGCTTCTTTCGTGGTTTATCTGAACGTTATAAATGTAAGCTTGCATTTTCATTCAAATATAAATTTATTTAAGTTGTAGTTGTATTATTTGAATAATATTATAAAAATAAACTTCATATTTATCAACAGTAGGATTCGATCTTTTAAATGGTGTATGGGATGTAGCAGCAATAAAGTTTTACAAGCTTATAATTTCCTTCATAAACATAGGCTTCATCTATGACCTCAGAGTCTCTGGGAACTCGGTGTCATGGCAGTAAATGCCTCTGGTTGACTGGTGTTGAAAGAGTTAAATCACTCATGCTAGCCTATCCTAGACTGTGCACATGGACTTTCAAACTAATACTTTTCCTTAGTAAAAGTCATCTACAAGTCAGCGTGATAAAGGGTGAGATTTCCAACTCAGCGCCTTTGAGGAACCGTTAGTTGCTGTGCTACAACGAGAGGTCCAAATTGGTGAATGCCTGAGACATCTTCAGTGGCTATGTCTCTGAGGTAGTGGTTGGCAAACACCGTATCCGACTTCCAGAAGCAGCCCTCCATTATTGTCGGTATAGAGCAATTTCCGTGTAGAGCTAGTGTGGACACCAGTGCTCTAACTTCGTGTGGGTTGGAAGCTCTAGGAGGTTCTAGTCCTGCTGCTTTGGCTGCTCTGGCGGAGTATCCTCTTTTCTTCAAACACATTTTGATATGGTCCACACGTGTAACTGGAACACTGTTGGGTTTCCGTGGGCTTGCTTGGTGTGCGGATGTATCAGTAGGTTCGGCCAATCTGGAAGCTTGATAACTGGGTTTCCTAGGTTTTCTATTAGGTCTGGGAACCATGCTCTCGCTGGCCAGTAGGGCGCTACCAAGGTCAGTTGTAGCGTCTGAGTCTGTTTGATCTTGACCAATACTTTTGGCAGTAGTATCGGAGGTGGAAAAGCGTAGCCGTTTAGTCCTTCCCACGACATGCTCAGTGCATCTGTTGCCCAGGCTTGAGGATCTGGAATTGGTGAGACGAACGTCTGTAGTTGTTTGTTGAACCTCGTGGCAAACAGGTCTATGGAAGGGAATCCTATTTCCCTTATGTTCCGAAACGCTTCTGGATGGAGCATCCATTCCATAGGTGACGGGTGTAGTGGTCTTGAGAGAGCATCTGCCAGTACGTTCTTGGCTCCGGGTATGTGACACGCCTTTATCCAGATGTTTGCTTCCTGCGTAATCTGGAACAACTGGAATGTGAGCTGCAACAGGCTTGGAGATCTTGTGGATCCTTGCCGATTTATGGAGAACGCCATTGTGGAGTTGTCCGTGTGGATCATCAACATCTTGTTGTTCAGCAAACTCGACCATAGTTGTAAGGCGTTGATCACTGCTTTCATCTCTAGTAGATTGATGTGGAGCTTTTATTCTGTTTGGGACCACTTTCACGAGGCCACTTGATCGTTGAGATGCTCCCTCCATCCTTGCATCGAGGCATCTGCGTAGAGGTGTGTGTCGAAGGCCGGCTCTTGTAAATAGACTCCTTCGCAAACATTCGACCTGTGTGTCCACCATAGTAGATACCTCTTGAGGTTTTCCGGCAGCAAGATAGACGCTGTCTAGATGTTTTATCAGGAACCGTTGCAGTGGTCTTAGCTGTAATCTTCCTGTGTGCGTCAGGTCCTGCGCCGAGGTTAGTAGACCCAGTAGAACTTGCCATGATCGTAGTGTTAACGGAGAGGTGACTGCTGGCGGAATCATGGCTTGTATCTTGACCCAGCGATCCTCAGAAGGCATTGCGTAGACCATTGATGATGAAGGTATGCGACTATAGGCTTGGTTATTCATGTGAATAGCCACTGGGCCCAAGATATTCCAAACGGTAGGACGTTCTATTGGTAGTACTTCCGTCTGAACAGGAATCGTAGATACTTTCTTGATTCTTGATGTATCGGGATGTGCAGGTAAGCATCCTGCAAGTCCATGCTGGCCATGTTATCTGCTGAATGGACGAGTTGTTTCAGTTGAGGTGGGTGGATCGTGCTGAACCTCTCTGGTTTCAGTAGGTAGTCTCTTCTAGAATTCCCCAATTCTTCCAGTACCCTTGTAGACGTCCACTCACTGTCGATAGTTTTACAGGAACGGCTGGGGGTGGAAGACTCCAGTCATTCCGAACCCTGATATCAACGTCTGGTACCTCTGGAAACTGTGGGGCCGCGGCCTCTTCCTGAGTTTCCCCTGTAGTTGCCGGAAGGGCGACAAAAAGAGTCCTTCCCGCCTCTGAAGTTGGAGTACTTCTTATCCTTAGCTCTCTGTATTCCGGAATACTTGGACTTGTTGCTATACTTCTGGGACGTATGGCGGATGACGTTGGCCAGGATATCTATGGTTTTAATCATCATCACATCTCGGGAGTCGTGTGTGGCTTGTTTAGCTGCATCATCCAAGAGACCTCCAAAGATGGTAGGCGCCTCCCACGGAGCTCGTAGTAGTGGCTGCGTAAATCTATCATTCCAGGAGCAGGACGCCAGTAGGCCCTGTCTGCGTATTAAGGTGAGCCCCGCCGAGATGGATGTGAGGTGGTCCGACACGAAGAATTGATCCTTCTTTTGTGTGATGAGGGCCGAGTAGATCATCTTATCCTCTTCCGTCGTGGAATTCTGGAATTTCTTTATCAATGCTTCATTGATGGCTCTAGATCTTGCCAGTCCAAAGAAGGATGTTCTAGAAGCTGTATCCAGTTGTGATAGCTTCTTGTCATCCACTTTGTACACCTTACTCCGGGGTGTCGTTCACTAGCTTGATGTTGTCATCCCACTCAGGCGCCTTCACAAATGGTTCCATGTGGTGTAGGGGGAATCTCCTCTTATTAAAAGATGGTAGTTGCTGCGTCTGGTACTTGGAAGCCTTCTCGAAGGCTGTGCGAAGGTTGTCCGGTACGTTGGATATAGGCTCGATCGGCGGGAATTGTGACGGAGATGAAGTCATCATCCTTCATCATGTAGGTGTAAATTTCATTCCTATCCTTAGAAGGAGACTCCAAGTTCAACCCGCTAGCAATCCATGCTGTTACTTCTGAGTCTGAGAAGACGGGGTCCGTAGTGTCCTGGGTAAACGAGCTGTGTCTTGTTGAAGTATCTCTGTGCGAACCTGTATCCCTTCGCGAACCGTCATCCTGGGTTCGCGAACCTGCAGCTGAAGATTCCTCCCTGTGCAAACGTCTATCCTGAGAGTGTTCTCTTCGCGAACGTCTTTCTCTGGATTCATCTCTTCGCGAACCTCTGTGTGGTGAGCTATGCCTTCGCGAACGTCTGCGTTGAGGCGATCTTGACCTAGAGCGGCTAGGTGTAGAGGCAGGATCCTTGGAGGTTCGCGAACGTTGGGGGGTTCGCGAACCTGGACAGCGTATCATCTTGACTATCTTGTAGTATGACGATGTCGTCCGGTTGTGGAGCCCTTTGCGGAGGTGTACGTTCACCAACGTCATCTGCAGGTGTAGCTCTGATGGGTGTAGATTCGCGCAGGCCTGAGGGTTTGCGAATGGTGTCGGCAGACGGGAGGCTCTTCCTTGTCTTCGATTCTTCCTGGAATCTCCGCTCCATCAAGGCCATCATCTGGTTGGTGAACTGCGTCATGAATTCTCCAGGGTCGAAGTTCTGCATCTGTTGACGCTGCTGCGATGTTGTAGAAGCGTTCGCGAACGCTGATGGGTTTTGTGCCTCAACTTCTCTCCTCGAAGTAAGAGGTCTTATGTCGAACAGCTGGCCTGCTGTGACATTCGTGGGGGACGATCTCGTAGTAGTTGAGGTCGACTGCATCGTTGATGTCATCGATACTTCGGGTAGAAGTATAGGGGGGTCGTCAAAAACGTCTTTCTCGTGAGGCGGTACAATCTCTTTATTGAAGGATTTCTGGTGCATAGCAGTGCTAGCACGTGTAGTCTTGCCCTCAGATCTGGTACCCGTAGACTTCTTCTGCGTAGTAGAAGAGGACACCGTCTTTTTCTTAGACTGGGACGCCGTAGACTGCGAGGTAGACGACCTTTTCTGAGCCCCCTTTGCAGCAGACTGGCCCTGTAACGTACTAAGCATAACATCACTGTTATGAACATCAGCAGCAAGTAACATACGGTTTGTAGGCTGATCTGCAGATTTATCACACGTGACTAGAGATGCTTTTTTCACCCGATACATGGCACATCTATAAACATAAGACAAATATTGATTAAATTAATGCAATAAGTACAACGCAAGGTGGATGAACATGGATCTGTACACGAAGGACATTGGGGGGTGAGGATCAGCCACGGACAACCTGTGCCTACACACACAGCAGGATTTCATGAATTGTAAACAAATACAACACGATGAAAACAGATTCAAAGTCAATAATTTTTACCAAATTTGTACAAATACAACATAATGATTATAGCCAAATCCATACACAGCTTAATTTAGAAGAATAGGCCTAAATAGAAACGATAAATTTGCCGTATACAGGACTCCAGAAAAGGGAGAGAGTGACAAGTATGGGCACGTCACATGGTACGTTTGCGCGGGAAAGGGCAATGGAGGTAACTCATGGGTGAGTATTTATACGTCCGCTTCGGGAACTTCAAGGGATTCAAGTGTTCCACTACCATTCGAAAGGGAAAGGGAGATAACCAAAAGTCAGGATCAGGAAAAATAGTTATTTTTACAAATGAACCAAGCTTACTCAACACTCAAATGACATTTTAATGACTAAGAAAATATGCTGGCACAACCTCATTGCCAAAAGAACTACTGTAGAGCTTGGCTTGGCTAACCGATGGGTCAGCATGAGTTTTCCTGCATTAGGTACACTCTGAAATAGATTTCATCATGCTTAATAAGCTGACATGTTAGCAGATATATTCTGATATATTCTGTTACACACAACATTAGCTCACTTGATCTATCAGTTCAGGTGTAAAAAGAATGGGGTTAGACATTTTGTTTGTTAAGATAATGGCCTATAGAAACCTGTAATGAGGCCAGGTACTGCCTCTTCTTGCGGAGCCTTGGATCAACATCAGGCTGGATATCTCGTGCGTCATACAGAATTCGCATCTCAGTGGCATCTGCATCTTCAGCATTCTGGATCAACTCCTGTTGAAGACAAAAGCTTTAGGTATGTGAATTTAAACAATGGCCATTGATAAAAAACTATGATCAGAATTTGATTCTATATATGTTTGTTGATCAACTTGTTTCACTTTACTGATTGTCATAATATGATTCTTGTCACATCTAATTAATAATGGTATGGAATTCAAAATCAACTCAAAACAGCACAGTCATTGACTCTTTTTCCTACAAGATCTAGCCACTTGTCCAGCTGGTCCAACACACACCTACCTTGAGGGTACTGGTCCAGCACAGACTCACCTTGAGTGTCTGTCCATCATCAGGGTACTGGTCCAACACAGACTCACCTTGAGTATCTGTCCATCATCAGGGTGCTGTTCCAACACAGACTCACCTTGAGTGTCTGTCCATCATCAGAGTACTGGTCCAACACAGACTCACCTTGAGTGTCTGTCCATCATCAGGGTACTGGTCCAGCACAGACTCACCTTGAGTGTCTGTCCATCATCAGGGTACTGGTCCAACACAGACACACCTTGAGTATCTGTCCATCATCAGGGTACTGGTCCAGCAGACTCACCTTGAGTATCTGTCCATCATCAGGGTACTGGTCCAGCACAGACTCACCTTGAGTATCTGTCCATCATCAGGGTACTGGTCCAACACAGACTCACCTTGAGTATCTGTCCATCATCAGGGTACTGGTCCAACACAGACACACCTTGAGTATCTGTCCATCATCAGGGTACTGGTCCAGCACAGACTCACCTTGAGTATCTGTCCATCATCAGAGTACTGGTCCAGCACAGACTCACCTTGAGTATCTGTCCATCATCAGGGTACTGGTCCAGCACAGACTCACCTTGAGTATCTGTCCATCATCAGGGTACAGGTCCAGCACAGACTCACCTTGAGTATCTGTCCATCATCAGGGTACTGGTCCAGCACAGACTCACCTCGAGTATCTGTCCATCATCAGGCTACTGGTCCAACAATGACATACCTTGAGCGTCTGTCCATCATCAGGGTATTGGTCCAGCACAGACTCACCTTGAGTATCTGTCCATCATCAGGGTACTGGTCCAGCAGACTCACCTTGAGTATCTGTCCATCATCAGGGTACTGGTCCAGCACAGACTCACCTTGAGTATCTGTCCATCATCAGGGTACTGGTCCAGCACAGACTCTCCACCACGAGTATCTGTCCATCATCAGGGTGGTAGTCCAGCATAGACCTACCTTGAGTATCTGTCCATCATCAGGGTACTGGTCCAGCACAAACTCACCTTGAGTGTCTGTCCATCATCAGGGTACTGGTCCAACACAGACTCACCTTGAGTATCTGTCCATCATCAGGGTACTGGTCCAGCACAGACTCACCTTGAGTGTCTGTCCATCATCAGGGTACTGGTCCAACACAGACTCACCTTGAGTGTCTGTCCATCATCAGGGTACTGGTCCAGCACAGACTCACCTTGAGTATCTGTCCATCATCAGGGTACTGGTCCAACACAGACTCACCTCGAGTATCTGTCCATCATCAGGGTACTGGTCCAGCACAAACTCACCTTGAGTGTCTGTCCATCATCAGGGTACTGGTCCAGCACAGACTCACCTCGAGTATCTGTCCATCATCAGGGTACTGGTCCAACAATGACCTACCTTGAGTGTCTGTCCATCATCAGGGTACAGGTCCAGCACAGACTCACCTTGAGTATCTGTCCATCATCAGGGTGCTGGTCCAACACAGACTCACCTCGAGTATCAGTCCATCATCAGGGTGCTGGTCCAACACAGACTCACCTTGAGTATCTGTTCATCATCAGGGTACTGGTCCAACACAGACTCACCTTGAGTATCTGTCCATCATCAGGGTACTGGTCCAGCACAGATTTAAGCTGCCTGATGAGGGTTGGTAGCTCCATGCAGGTGTAGCCATCATCCTCAGAGTCAGATTCTAAACAGAGTGAGAGTGTTATGACAGTGAAGCTTTTCAATATGTCTGCCCCTGGGAATCTGTGCACAGCACAGATGAACATGTCTGCTGTCGGCAATCTGTGTACGGCCCAGATCAATATGTCTGCTGTCGGCAATCTGTGTGCGGCCCAGATCAATATGTCTGCCCCTGGGAATCTGTGCACAGCCCAGATCAATATGTCTGTTGTTGGCAATCTGTGCTTTGCCCAAATTAACATGTCTGTTGTTGGCAATCTGTGCACAGTCCAGATCAATATGTCTGTTGTTGGCAATCTGTGCACAGCCCAGATCAATATGTCTGTTGTTGGCAATCTGTGCACAGCCCAGATCAATATGTCTGCTGTTGGCAATCTGTGCACAGCCCAAATTAACATGTCTGCCCCTGGGAATCTGTGCACAACCAAGATGAACATGAATGCCTCTGGGATCTGTGCACAGCTTAAAGGGGCACTGATCTAGAGCAATTCCCCAGAGCTGGTTGTTGCTTTAGTTATTTTTTTTCCAGTGGGTACCCGAATGATATCACAGAAATCTTGACTGGTACACGACCTCTGCTACAAAACCCTGTGTAACCACAATTCATGGCTTTAGGGCATATCCTCACATTGATCAACAAAGATAAAATACAGTCCATCTTGAAATTGATTGGAAAATGTGGTCATGTTTGTGACCAATTAATGTTTCAGTTATTTTACTAACTGGTTGTAAAACATGGCCATCAAGTGTATTATCATAACAATATAAACCATTTTGAAGTTTAATTTCATCCTCAAGTGACTAAAAGTGTTAGGTTTGAAAGTAAACAGAATTCAGTGTACTTGATATTTTAGGCATATAATCCTAGCATAATTAATCCATTATATTGCTTTTATGCACTTTTGAACTTCATAAAAATTGTTAGTAGATTTCTTTTTTCAGTGAATTTGAGACTGACTGAGTATGGCTTTGGGCTGCTTTTAGCAATATTACAGCAATATCACAGCAATGGACACCGGAAATGGGTTTCACACATTGTACCCATGTGGAGAATCGAACCTGGGCCTTCAGGGTGACGAGTGAAGGCTTTAACCACTTGGCTACCCCATCGTCCCTATGAATCTGTGAAATGACTGTAATATCCAAGCATTTCATAAATTACCTCAGTGAATATTGTAGACATACATGCCTACAACAAAAAGGCTTGTGAAACAACAATTTAGTGTTATCTGTCTTGCATTGAGGAAATTCCCAAAGATAATGTAACATAACTTAATTCTGTTCCATGTTATAACAAATGAATGAAAACAAAATGCAAATATAGTAAATTACAACTAATATATCTCTGACATAAAGGAACAATATCCCATCCACCTACAGTTGACAAAGAAATGTGTTCCATATCACATGCCCTCTAACAATCTATCGTAATATTGTACAATATGTATAACTTGTGATAGTTTCTCAACTGGTCTCGTAACTTTGTTACAGTTTTTTTGCATTGGCATGAAGTCTCATTGGTCAGCTGAGATAGTATTTTCATAATGTCCACGAATCTTTGAAACAAAATCATCCAGTAAGACAACAATGAGCAATCCACAACAGTTGGTTAAGCAAACGACATTATGACACGTTATGAAATGTGAAATGCACCACCCAGGAAAAGGAAGTACAGAGAGTTATATGCTCGGTCTGCCATCTACAGGATCAGCTCCAGAGAAGACAGACTTCGACTATTGACTTTTTTCGTGCTGCAGGCTGGGTGGCAAAACAGTTTTTGTAAATTCCCTTGAACTCTTTCCACAGCAATGACCTATATAATTAGCTGAATACATATTGTATGAACCTAGTACAGCTATGATTGTTTTGTTTTTGTATATTATTATGGTGGAACAGTCTACTTGATGGAGGAGAGAGAGCTAGTAATTAATAAACATTTGACTGGAACAGGTTGTGTCTTGGATGGGTAGTCAAACTGGGAGTAGTCATAATGGGAGTGAACCAAAGATGGGTGTATTCGGTCTGCGTAAAGAAATATGCAGATATAAATACTAACTTGTGACAAATCCACTGTGTAAATTAACACAGTGTATTACCAGTTAATCCTCTGATCACTGTTTTTTTAACTCATCTTATAATTCCTCTCTTGTTGCATTTCCATCTGCAGATTACACAACACGTAATACATTTGCCACATCAGACCTGACTAAATGTACTTGTGTAATTACCCTGACATGAGAAATGTCAAATGGGAAGCTTTGTCAGGTAATGTCAGAGTGGTGTTACCACTATGCCTGTTATGCCGGTTACAAATTCATCAACTGAGCATAAAGTGACTGATGGCATACAGGTGTAGGTTTATATAAAAAAACATGGATTACAACAAGGGAGTAATAATTGTTGTATTGCATGCAGTTTGGTTGCCTAAAGAACTGTAGGTTCCATGTTGTTTTTAGGATATGAATGGAACTAAGTTGCTGCTTAAAAAATTCTGCTCTTACATTTCTGTGTACAAAAGTTAATAATTGTATACACATAATTACCTTAGTGAGATTTTAAAATGTAGCAACGGCAAATGGGGTTGATTTTGTTTACGGGTTCAAATAAATGAAATGTGCGTTTAAGGTCAACGGACGTGACAATATTACCTGACGTGCAGAAATGGAATCCAAATCCATATTTGCTACCCTTAAAGATTGTAACTCCCTCTCACGTCACGCTCAGTTGTGTCAGATGGCATATCGTCTCGTGACATCTAATGACACCTGGGTGACAGTGTTAGCCGGCCATGTTGAAGCCAAACATCAGCATGACTTCAAATAACCACACATGCAGCATTTAAACTGTACACAGCTTTGAAGAATATGTTCACATCTTGGAATCAGTGTACAGCCTTAATAATCCCATACACAACATGGAATATGTCAGCAGAAGCCATACATGTATGGTCTCTGATGTCAACTTACCCCGACTCATGGTGCTGCCTCCCTCTGACCTGGAACACAGCTTACTTCTCACCACTGAAATATTGAAAAGAGGGCAAGGATCACCTCCTGGACCAGAAACCTTTTTTGAGTCAGTGAATTTTACACACAAGTCAACTATCACATTGGGCACTGATAGTTTCTTTGCTTTTGTTCATATATTACTAGTATTATATGTACATTCTTGAGTCCAGTTTGTAGGATATATTGGGAGGACATTGTTTGAAATATTCCTGCTTAAATGTTTATTTTGTATCCATATGTGCTGCCCTAAGTTTATGCATTATTCACGGCTCAGGTTCACATATGTGTGATTCCTGTATTTCTGCATTAAGTGAAGATTTGTCAAGAATGTTGAAAAGGAAGAAGGGAATAATTAGCAAATTGTGATTTTACTTTGGCATTGTTAAAAAAGGGTCTAGGTCAAAGGGCCCTTGGTACAAAAGCCCCTCGACCAAAAGCCCGTCACTCTATGTATTAATTGGGAAAATAAGATTAAAGACAAGAAATGATTAATGACATGAAACGTTTAATTGCTTCATAATATAATGACCCTAAATACTATATAAATTAATATGTAATTAGCAAATAATTCTTGTTTGTTTGTAGTCTTTAACTCCATGATCAAGTTTTAGTGAAATGTTTTTCACCAAAATATATACACCTGGTTCATACTTGTGCAAATTAGCTCAGTTAGAGTTAGGTTTTGCAAGATACATTGATCCCAGTGTAATAGGAAGAAAATTATTTACTAAAGTGTCACATGATGTACATCATAAAAGGCATCATAGAATATAGACATAAAATTGAGTACAACATCCAGCCAATATGGCCTACAAGACACTATATTGCATTTAGACACAAAGGTTAAAAATAATGAATAAATTACTAACAGCTATTAAAATAGTCTAATATTACTGAGAATGCGAAAGAATAGGTATGATGTGTTTGTTTGGCAATATGCCCATTTCCTCCGTGGGAAAGCCTGGGTTTGGCTGTGTTTGTTTAACAAAATACTAAGTTCCTTTCCAGGTTGCAGACTTTCCAAGTAAGAAATTATCACATTTCTCCATTTCCTTTACATTGGTATGATAAAATACTTAATATACTTTATATAACATATGTAATGAGAAAAGTTCCTCATACTTTATAAAATATAAAATACTTTTTCCCACTTAAAATACAGTATAAAATATATAAGAACCATAAGAAAGGTTCATTCTTTTATGAAATGCATGAATCAAGGGTCTTTTCACAGGGGTGCTCAAATTAGCGAGGGGCTTTCGTCCAGAGAGGCTTTTGAACCAAGGTGCTTTTTCGCTGGTCCCCCCTTAAAAATATGCCATGCATATGGTTTAAACATATTTTATTTGGAAACAAAAAGCAAAGGATTGGCAAACAAGCCGCTCCATAATACATGTATAAGTTTACATATATACATAATGTTGTACTTAATAATTGTAACAAGTTGTGAATATAAGAACAAGCTATCTCTGAATGATAACCATCTTGGATATTAACAAATTACCTTAGTTTAGTTTCGTGGCCAGTTGATACAAATAATAAAATAATAGAAATTTATTATTAGAATCTACAAGGCTTCTATGAATCAAATCGTTTTGATGTAATAATGAATTGATGCACTGACTTAGAATATCCATATTCGTCTGATGTGATACTGAGTTATTGCCATTTAGCACATCTCGATAGCGTTCACTAACATGAACAGCGTCATGTTCACTAGAGAACGCTATGTATCGTAGCTAATAGCTGGGCTTCAGATAAGATGCGTATCTGCGTAAATTACGGATAATTCAGATATACGCATAAAAAATCAAATCAACGAGTGAAAGATACGTATAACTTTCTCAGAATACGAGTCAGATTTTGTTTACATGCGTGAACCATACCTGTCAAAATATTGTTTCAGTCCCACACATCTCGAATAGTGATGTTGTCTGTATTGAAGCGAAGATTGTCGAGTTTTTCCGTTTGATATCCGTTAATATTTCTAATCCACGTTCGGTTCACAATTTGTTTAAAAGCCTGCCCTTAAAGAGCGTTACTATCACAACGTTTCCGGCCCGTATCAGTAATAATACAGCTTTAGGGCTGCTGTATATTACGTGATGGCCTTAAACGAGCGTAGGAAAACATTTATGTCAACGCGCACTGTAATTTATTTCCTGTCGTCTGCAGTAAGAATGAGTAACCAAAAGAAACTCGTCGAGTTGTTTTAAATGAAACTGTTTCAGTTAGCAAGGAAAAGTAATAAACCACGCAACCTGTGAAATACTCCTCCTTTTATTTCCATATGGTATTTTACTCCTCAATTTTAATTTTGAGGAGTGAAATACTCTTGAGTCAAAATTATTATCTGGAGCCGTGACTCAGTTGTGATACATGAAGGGGAAAGTCATTGTTGTTAGGAACAAAGAAGGATAAGATAACAAGGCAGATTACAACCATGATCTGCCGGTAGGAAAGAAAAAAAGAACATTTATAGACTTTATGAGAAAAGAAAAACGACTGATAAAGTTAGAAACACCAACTGTGAAAAGAAATATGAACCCTGTTTGCAAGATGTAAACCTGCATACAAAAAGACATGCAATAAAAAAAATACACAAATCTTTCTCATATTATATTGATTAACTTCAATAGCATAAAAGTAATAAGCCAATACAATCCAACTAACATAAAGAAAGAGAACTTTAGTGAATCGGTCGTGCCATGTCAATATCGCATGCTTCTCTGAGGGTAACTGTATTCATGCTCTTTCATATCATGATTACACAATGTCATTTAGAAAGTGGTCATATGTAACATATGTTAAACTTCATATCATGTCGTGCATGATTAAATCGGGCATCAAACATGATTAGATATCATGCATATATATTATGACATACATATGGGAAACTGTTTCTGTTCTCCTGAATAAACAGGATATTCACATGTAAAATAGGACTTGTAAACCTGAGTATTGGCAGGCCTTATCTCAGGCAGAAATTTCCATCGAAGAGGCGCGTATCATATGCTGTGGATCACTTAAATATGAAATAATTCTGTTTCAATTTTCCATAACTTCAGTGGAAATTACAGCTATTTAAAAAGGGGAGCACTTTTATTTTCTGTGTTTCTCATCGCCCGACCGACCCTTCTTATTTGTGTTGTCGACCCCCGTAAAAAAACGTCTTTTTTTACATTCCAACACCGTTGACTCGAACCTAAATCAGTCGCTGCCATAAGTCCAAAGTCCACGAGAAGTTATATTAAAAAATATAATAAATGAGAATCAAGAACACTCTTCAGATAAGTTTGTCTTTATTAATTTTTTGTTGTTGTTGTGTTGTTGTTTTTGTTTTGTTTTGTTTTTCTTTCCCGACCGACCTACCCATGTTCAGAATTTGGTGGCTACGTGAAACACATAAACATAAAATAAACGATGTCCAAATGACCAATTACAGTGAATCACTAAATGCATGATAGTCACCTGCAATAGCCATGGCTTTCATTTAGAAAATGGCATGATGAAGAGGAACACTTATCTATGGATAGACAGCTTCCAGATTGCAATAGATGCGACGTTTGGTGCAGATCCTAACACTGTTATTAAGTAACTTCCCTTATCAAGTAGCATCCCTCATCTATCTGTCTATCTGTCTGTCTGTCGGCTATATTATTTACTTTGAAAGATGGCCGAAAAAACATTAAGTTTAAATTTGATTCCTGCAATATAAAAACAGTTGATTTTCATAAACAATTGGGTTTAACCTTCTCGTCTGACGGGAGTTGACATCATCACATTGAAAGCATTGTCAAATTGAGATCTAGAATGATTGGAGCATTTCAGAAATTAAACTTTCTACTAAATTGAACAACACCAGTTTTTCTTCAGGATTCACTCCCACCTGTAGTAGGCAACCGGACAAGTTATGAGTTAAGAAACTCAGATAATTTTAGCCAACCATGTTCAAGACTGAGGTACTCAACATCATATTTTATTGCATAGCAGTTACAATTTGGAATAATATTCCCTTAGCTATTAGAAATTGCGACCCTGTTGCATCATTTAAATCTTATAGCCACGTGAAAGAAAAATGTGCACCTAAATATTATTCATATGGAATAAGGAAGTTATGTTTTGCAAACAAGACGCATCATGTCAATGTGACCATGGATGTGAGAATGTTTTTCATTACTTCCTCGAATGTCCACTGTGCACTATTCAAAGATATTAACTGTTAAATCTTTAGAAAATATTGTTAAAAATAGTAACCTTATCTTACATGGCAATGCAGGTCTCTCAGTTACTGAAGACCGGAATGTTTTCAAATATGTACATAATTTATGTTATCTCTCAGACAAAACGTTTGCTCAGTTAACGTCTGCTTTACATATCCTTGCCTTGTGTATGTCTGTCACTGGTGTACAATGTTGTAAGATCGATTCTGTAATTATTGGGAGAAGGCTTTTCTAAGTTGGATAACCTGTGTCCAAACCTTTTCTTGAATGATTAAACTATGTTTCCATCAATAAACACAATCAAACCTCTCGGTGACAAATCTGTTTTTATATTCGATAGTAACTGATAGTAAAAACCATTTTGCGAAGAGAAGACACATTATCATTTAATCACAACAAAGTTATGTTTACACACAATCAAACTTCTCAGTAACGAACCTGTTTCAGGCTCACCCTACTCTACTCACTGGACAGTGGACTGTTCCATTATACCCGTAGGTGTTACCCTAATTAACCTTCTAGTTCAGTGTCTGTCATGGGAGATAACCTTCCCAAGCCAACGCGCACTGCATGTGCGAGTAAACCATACACACTGCCCCGCCAACGCCTTAAAGCCTAATGATGACACTTCTTCGTGTTCTTCTGTAATCTGTTCAAAACCAAATCACCAAATAAACTCTAGTTGCTGTCCGGCTATTTATTGAGAGGGACAGGCATAAATTAAGCAAGTTACAAACGAGTTAACGACGTACTTTAGAGGTGAGGTGAGGTGAAATTGGGTTTTACGTCGTACTTGAGAATATTTCGCTCATATGACGACGTGCATGCGTGTATATGTGTATGTGCGGCTGCTTGTACTAGGTCAGACTTAAGCGGGTTTTATAGTGCTAGCCCACTGAGATACCCGCCGCAGTGAAGCATGAATACCCCACTCAGACACAATATACTGACTCCGAGCCGACCAGTCCTTGTCGTACCCATTGTTAATGCCGAGCGCCAGGCAGGGACCATTAGTTCCATATTTTAACGTCTTTTGGTATGACACGGTCGGGGATCGAACCCACGACCTTCCGCTCTCCGGACGGACGCTCTAACAACTACACCACGGAAGCGGTCTACGTACTTTAGAAAGGTAACACATTTATTAACTATTGATTACTAAAAGAACAAATACATTCTCATATACCAGATGTGTGTGAGCTGTTGGTGGCTGTAGTTCTCAATTCATATATATTTTTCAAATCCATCTTTATTACCTTTATTCTCTGAATTATCATATAAAGAGCCGCTCCCTTTCCCTCCTTAAAAGTTAAACGAAATAATGACTAATGAGTAGCAGATTTGGGCGAGCCCATATCGAAATAGTCTCAGTTCATCAAGTAAAGTAAAAAGGGTCCCTCTCTAGACCCTCGTCAAAAGTATATAGTCAAGTCAAGTATTTTTATTCCGTATGTAGGCCACAGGCCCATATACAACATATACATTTGTTTACAAATATACATTTGTTTACAAATATAGATACGCTTTAAAGGGCATACATATCAATAATACACGTGTTATTTGTTCAAATAGATTTCTTGTCAGTATAAATATAATATTTAATATAAACATTTATACACACCTTTATAAACATTTAAAATGGAAAAATGTGTGGTTTAGAGAAAATTTATTGGAGTTTGATTGCTCTGATTTTATAAGCATGAAAGATATATTTACACAAATTTCTTAAAAGTGTTTCATTATTTGTTGATAACAGGGACTTAAATTTATAGTAGTTTGGTTGTTCCTGATATACATATGGCAAGTATTTTAATCTAAGGGAGTTATATTCAGTACATATAAAAATAAAATGATACTCATCTTCCACACCCAGCTTACACAATGGACAATTACGTTCTGCAACCTCAACATTTAACCATCTTCCCTCATTATACTTTAACCTTAAAATTAACCCACATCTAAATTTGATCAAAATATTTCGAAACTTTTTGTCCAAGATACATGATAAATATTTTTCTGGAGTTAACAGACGTTTGAACTCTCGGTAAATACGGTATCGTGAACTGTTATTCAATGTACAATTCCAAGATTAAAAAAAAAAAATTGATTGCAACAGTCTTGAATCTATTTACAAATGAAGCTGCATCACCAACTGTCTGAGACATCCAGACGTAACCAAATCCATGTGAAAAAAGTATTTCTCTAATATATGAAGCATATGTCATATATCCACAGTTATCGTAATACATTTGCATTTTGTACACTTTCAAGGGAGTTCTATCTTGATGCATATGAATAACCTTTAACCAATACTTTAAAGTTTTACACAATAGCAGTAGGTGTTTGAGGGCTGACATTCAAAAAACGTTTGCAAGCTGTTAGATGAACCTTTTCAATTTCATAAAATTTATGTATTCCCCCAGATTTCTGCCCCATACAGTAATATCAGCTGTATCTGCGCATCAAATATCTTAAAATACACACTGGGGTCTACTATTCCAATTCCATTTAAATTACTTATTACTTCCATTAAAGCCCGCTTACCCTCAGTGCTAAATCATTGATGCAATTTCTCATCTTAAATGTTGATGAAAATATAACTCCCAAATATTTATAAGTATTTAATGTTGTTATTGGTTGGTCATTTAAAAACCACTTTTCATTTCTTGCTAAACGCCCTCCCCTTCTAAAAACAATATTTGTCTTGTCTAAGTTTACTTTTAGACCTGAATATTCAGTGTAATTATGTAGAATATTAAGTTGATTCTGTAAGCCTGGAATTGTATCAGACATAAGAACAACATCATCGGCAAACATAAGTAACATGATTTCTAATAAGTCTGGAAATAACTGCACTCCATATTTACCATATCTAGATATGTCGTCTGATAATTCACTAATGAAAAAGGAAAACAATAAAGGGCTAAGAACACAACCTTGCTTTAAACCAATTGGACAGTCAAAATACTCAGTATATCCGTTATCACTTCTAACACAAGCTGTTACCGAGCTGTAAATACTCATTACAGCAGTTAGCATTTTCCCATGTAAACCAGATTTGAATAAGCGCTTATATAACTTAGAACGGTCAATTGAATCAAAGGCTTTTCTAAAATCAATAAAAGCAACATATAACTTTTTCCTTTTCTTAATTAGACATTTTTCTATAACACCATGCAAAGTAAAAATATGATCAATCGTAGAGTACCCTTGTCTAAAGCCTGCTTGTGTTTCGGGAACTTTATTCCATATATTTGCCCAGTTCGTGATACGGACATTTAAAATAGATGTATATAATTTACTTAATATACACAATAAAGAAATCCCCCTGTAATTATCTGGGTTTTTGCGATCACCCTTTTTATGTAAAGGAATAACTATTGCTTTCCTCCAAGCCATGGGAAAAACACCTGTGTTAAAAATACTATTAAACAATATCTTTAAAAAAGGCATAATAATATGTATAGATGATTTCAACAGTTCAACAATTACACCATCTCTACCAGCTGACTTGCCATTTTTCAGATGAAAAAGACATGAACTTATTTCCTCATCAGTGATAGCAGACTCAAGAATACAGCGATCAATGTCATTTAAAGGAATATTTACATCAGAACTGAAAACATCTTTCTCAATGGTATCATCAGCTTGATTTTGGGATGTGAACAACCTTTTAAAATGATTATACAATAAAGTTTTATCTAATGGACAACGGGAGCTCTTTGTATTATTCAGACTTCTCAACTCTTTCCAAAAAGCAGAAGTGTTACGGATAGAAGATTTTAACTTAGAACTTTTCTTTTGCTGAAATGTTAACTTAGCTTTTCTACATTCATATTTGTATTTATTCCTTAGTTCACAATATCTGCGTCTACTGATATAGGTACTCTACAACATAAGGGGTTCTCTATGCAAAGCGTCACTGTAGAAATAGTCTTGAAATATGGACGGCGCCTTCGGGAGCCTGGCATTTTTCGTATCGAAATACTTGAAAATACGGGTTTGAAATATATATTTCTTCTTCCTTATCCATTTAGCCATCAGATAAAGTAAAAGAGTCGTCCCTAGCCGATCTTCAAAAGTACACAGATACCCTACAACATTATGAGGCGTCACTCAGATTCCGATCCACTACTTCAACCAATCAGAAGTGTTTGCTATATTTAGCCCGTGTTGTGACATAATCGATTCTGTCCACCACAGCGTATAGTCTCGCCCCTGAATTCGGAAGGTAGATCTATAGTTCTGTATTTCAGTCCTTCAGTCTCATATTGTCAATTTAAGATGTCACTTATTATCAAATCAAAGGTTTCGGCTAGGAAGTACGTTAAAACGTCACCTTTCTTTATACGCATGTCTACAATGCAAACAGTAATTACAGTTGGTCATTGAAATGTACGCCTTCAAATCTTCCGTCGGGACAGCAGTGGTCCGGGGTAGCAGTTTGTTTGAGCTCAGAATATGGAATGATCTACGGGACGACAGAATATTTTGTGTCATTACACGGTATTGTACCACGAACAGAGACATGGAGACTGACATCAATATAATTATTAATAGGCGCTGTTTGAATGACAGTGACAACGAAAGTTACGCATTTAGCAACAGTCACTGAATTTCAGATTCGTTCATGTACTCACCGTCTGTTCACGCAATCGTTTCGGAGCGTTACTGATAACTGCATGCATGATACAGGCTTCGTTTGGAACGGGTTTTGAGTTATGTTCATCTCCAACAATCGTTATGTACCCCAGCTATCACGTGATATAATCTAACTCTGGATTTCCCAGAACCCCGCCCAGGGTTCATGGAAGGCGCCCTTTGTACTTAGAAATACGTTGAAAACACCTTATTCGGGCATAGGCGTATGTAGTGTGATATTGGAAACACCTATCGATCAAAAGATTAACAGTGATAGCATTTGCTAATGTAGGCCTAAAGTTTTCAACTGCATTCATGCATGACTTGCTACGTGTCCAGCAGCGTACTTTATGAGAGAGAGAGAGAGTTAGCGAGAGGTGGGTGACAATTTGTTAGGGGCTTCTTATCAAGGCTGTACGGCAAATTTGCATAAGCCTTTGAGTTTGAAATTTAGCTAGGTTCGCCCAGGGGAACAAAATCGATTTCGCCGAAGGTAAGAATGCATTACACCTGTTGTAGTGTGTGTATGGTCCCGAGAAGGACACTAACGTGACTAAAATGGTGTTAAAGTCCACGTCCGACATGGGTAACCACTGTCGCCAAGCAGAGGGCAACTGACTGGTAACATTTACCCCTTGTTGAAACCTAACTTTCCCCAATTTCTTGCTATCCATGGCGGCGACGCTACGAGTAAGAGGTGCTTGCGAATATTTCGCTCATATGACGACGTGCATGCGTGTGTATGTGTATGTGCGGCTGCTTGTACTAGGTCAGACTTAAGCGGGTTTTATAGTGCTAGCCCACTGAGATACCCGCCGCAGTGAAGCATGAATACCCCACTCAGACACATTATACTGACTCCGAGCCGACCAGTCCTTGTCGTACCCATGAATGCCGAGCGCCAGGCAGGGACCAACAAGTACCATATCGTGCCCTCAGAACCACGTTGTTCTATCTCCAGTTTTGGTCCAAAATGAGTTAGGTTCATATTCTCTTTTTGGACTGTTTGTTCTATGTCCTTGTGAAGTTATACAGTAATACCATTACGAGAAACACGTATTTTTGCCTTTCATCATTATCCTATGTCCAAATTTGAAATTTAATCTCAGTTCCAAACTATTCTAAATCCATGACCAATCATATAGCTTCCTTTGGTCACGTGATGAGGAGTTAGAACACTCTGGAAATCGCACATAGATGGAAGTCACATGTAAAAGGTGAGTACATTTTGAATAATTTTATCAAATACCATCATCACACATCCCTTTTTTTGTAATGTATATTAGCAGTCAAGCCTTAACTTGTGTCTTTTATTGCAGTGTTACTTTGCCAAATATATTTTCCTGCAAAGTAAATGCTTTTTAATCTCAGTTGGGAGATAGTACATTTTGGTTCTTAATTTCTATGGAACTTTTATTGGTTATAACTGTGACATAGAACAATATCATGCTCTATTGCAAAACTAAGTTTGTGTTCTTATTTTTCAGATTGAGTGATCTTCCTAATGAAGTTCTTGTAAAAATTCTTCTCCTTGTACCTATTCAAGATCTTTTGCAAAATGTAGCCAGAACATCAAAATCGTTACATTTGCTAGTACATTCAGTTCGGCAGCTTTGGAAACATATAGATCTGTCTTTTCAAGAACTTTCTGTTGTGGAATTTCATCGAATTCTTAAGAAATTAAAGTATTTTGAAACTTTGAATCTTTGCCATATTTCATTCCACGAAAGTGTCTCTGTGGTAGACTACTCCTTGACAACAGGACTAGTGAGGGCGGAACATCTTACCAAGTTGGACCTATCCTTTGTGAAAATATCTACTCTTGCCTTCCTAGTCAGTGTATCCAACCTCGAAACCTTGAGCTTGGAGCACTGCTCATTGTAAGTTGATGAAGACTTTGAAATCATCAAATACTGCCGGAGTCTTCTGTCGGTCAATTTCAATTTTACAAAGGTGTCCCCAAAAAAAAGCTGAAAGACATTTTTGAGTACACTAATAACTGCTGTTGTCTGGAAGCTTTTGGTATTACATTTGATCTTACAAGTTGCTTCGACTTCCTTGAGGTTGCCCATCCGAACCTGCTGTTCTTTGACTTGACTCTTGAAAACACCGTCCAATTGGTTGACTTTACACATCTCATTGTTGATCGATTTGTTGACTGCACCTTTTGTGTTATGTATTAAGAAAGTCTAATAATGGCTGATACTTACAACTTAACCGATGTGCTGATGATGGTCACCTCAACTGTTCCTGATGATTCAACAGATTCGCAGGAAATTCATGAAGTGGAACCAATTATCCGACTGGAGCAAGATCATCTTGACGTCTCGTCTGTAGTGGAAGTATCTTCTGGTGCTGCTGCTGATATTGCCACCCTTACCCAAAATGTGAACAAAGCTGAGATGGACGAGTTCACGCTTGACTCACAGGACTCTCAGGACTCTCAGGAACAGATCACAGAAGATGAGGACAGTTCTTGTAGAAGTAGGAAAAGAAACGTCACCCAGGTGAATGGACGAAAAATCAAAGAAAAAGAAACGACAGTCTGGCCAGAGCTACACAAGTGCGAGGGGAAAAGTGTTCCAGAACGAAAGATCAAAACACTCTCAAGGACTGTATTGGGACTTGTAAATTTAAATGTGGAAGAAAAATTTCTACTGTTGAAAGACAACAAGTATTCAATTCATTTTGGTCCTTATCAGATGATGAGAAAAATCACTTCTACAATAAAACTGTAGACAGGATGGAAAAGAAAAGACAGCGAACTAGAGGCCAAAGCAGAAGAACCTTTTCTTTTGGATATTTCTTCAACATCAATGAAAGTAGAATCCGTGTCTGCAAGGAATACTATCTGTCCACACTCAACATTTCTCAGAGAAGAGTTTCATACTATTTTGAAGTCAAACATGATCTGACTACCACCAATCCAAAGCAGACTGACATGAGAGGAAGTCGACTAAAGACCGAGTGCCATTTGAACAGAAAACGTTTGTCCGGTCACACATTAACTCTTTTCCTAGGGTCGAATCCCACTACTGCAGGGCCAAAACACAAAGGGAGTATCTGGAACAAGGACTTTCTATAACCAAAATGTACAGACTTTACCTTGAACAATGTGAACAAAACAATCGGCTACCTGTCAAAGAAAACATTTACCGCACCATTTTCAACAGTGAGTTTAATTTGGCATTCCTTACACCCCAAAAGGATAGATGCGATATATGTGAAGAGTACAGGATCAAAGAGGAGTTCAACCAGCTCGATGAGGAACTCTGTTCAAGACATGAACGTCACCTGGCATCACAGGTAGCAACAAAAGCAGAGCGAGACAGGGGTCGACAGAGCACAGAAGCTGTGGTTTGCTTTGATCTGGAGAATGTGATATCCTGTCCCAGAGCAAACATATCTAGTTTCTTCTACAGACGTAAAATCGGTGTATATAATCTGACAGCACACTGTTCTCTTGATTCATCTGCTTATTGTGCAATATGGAACGAGAAGCAAGCTGGGAGGGGTGCCAATGAACTGGCAAGTTCCTTGATTGCAATTTTGGAAAAGATTTATGATGAGCATTGCCCAAAACGTCTCGTGCTGTGGTCGGATTCTTGTGTTGCACAGAACAAAAATTCTGGTATGGTTTTTGCTTTGAAGGACTTTATGCTTCGTCATTCTGTTGAGTCAATAGAACATAAATATTGTGAACCAGGTCATTCTTCTATTCAGAAAGTCGATAGTATCCACAGTCGCATTGAGAAGCAGATGAGCAATCATGAAATCTTCAGTCCAGTAGGAGTCTTAAAAGCCGTGAAAAGAGCTTGGAGTAAAGCACCGATGCACATCATTCAAATGAGGAGAACCAGTTTAAGAAATACATGGAAACAGCTAAACTCACGAATATGAAACAAGTGCCCTTCACCAAAGTGAAGTCAATAATGATCAGGAAGGATGACCTCTACAGCCTGGAATTCAAGACTTCATTCACAGAATCATGGAGTACAGTCAGCATCCGTCCAGAAACAATGCACTTCGTTTGTCAGCGCAGAGTCCTTTATCCATTGAGTGGCCTAAAACTAAAACTATCACAAAGAAACCAGAACTCACCAAAGAAAAGATTGATGATGTAAAAGCAATGATGAAGTTCATGTCTCCAGCTGACAAAAAGTTCATGGCGGGACTTCTATCTTGAACTTTGATTTTGCAACAGTTTCTGATCGTGAGATCCTAATGGAGTGTCCTTTTAAGACATATTAAGTTTATTGCTGAGTTAGGCTGATGTAAAAATGAAAGCAACAGGATGGTATGTCCATTATTTCAGTTATGTTTGTTATGATTATAAACAAGAAGCTATTCAAATTATCCACTGCAGTGCACGTGTGGTGTGCATTGAACTGTTAATGCTGAATGTTTTGCAGAGGGGGTATTTTCTTTTAGTTGGGTATAAAAGCACTGTCTATTGTTACAGTTGGTGCTCCTCTTCAGAAACTAATACGGAAAAAGTCATTGTATCTTTCAAAGTTTGCGTTTATGATGTGATTTTGATGGGAAAGCAATTTTTGCAAGGGTGTTCCTTGAATCATTTTCTCAGATCCAAAGCGTTGTAATGTTTGTGATTTTGGTTTGTTTTTGTTGCAAAAAGATGTTCCTAATAAAAAGATTTGTTTCTAATCTCAATGAGTCCTTTCATTGAGTAATTACATTTGACGATCACTACGAAATACAAATTTAAACCCAACCATACACTAAATGATGGCGCTTAGAACAAGGTGGAACTACAACTTTTTGAAAACTTTTAACATATTTGTTCTAACTCCAAACAAAAAAAGTGATTTTTCGGAAAATATTTGCGTTTTCTTAAACATATGAAAGAATCATGTAAGTATATCCATGCGAAATATTATCTGAATACATGGACAATCATAAAATATAGTAAGGTTCAAACTTTCAAATGCCTATAACTCGAAAAGTGTTTTTCTGGAGTTAGAACAACGTGGTTCTTGGGGCACGATATTTTAACGTCTTTTGGTATGACGCGGTCGGGGATAGAACCCACGACCTTCCGCTCTCCGGGCGGACGCTCTAACCACTACACCACAGAGGCGGTCGCTACGAGTAAGAAGAGAGAGG